GCCATGTAGCAGTAGTTCTGCTATAGGGCGGTCAGGAAGCGGTTAAGATACTGCCTACAATCAGCACCTACTGCCTAGGAATGAAAGGGGGAAAAAAAGGCCTCAGTGCTTGTGTGAACAGGGTCTGAGGCTAGGTTCACACTGCTGCATGTCGGGAATGCATGCATACAAAATTGTGCCTTTCCCAGCACAAGCAGAAAGGTGCTGGCCTTTAGCAGATGAGCTGCTATACCATTCATTGTTCTTACAGGGCTTGACAAATTTGCTTAGAATCTAGGAGCCAGCTAAAAAAGTTAAGCGCCAGATTTTTTTAGTGTAGTGTGGGTTGTCCGTGCTCAGGGCAAGGTAACTTTTAGGTGACAAGCTTCACACAATGCAGCTTGTCGTGTGATAATCACAGCAAACCTGAACCATGTTTTAGGTGCCATTGAAAATAACGGCACCTGAACCTGCATTGGAGGCGTTGTTTTGCATTGAAGTCAGTAGGAGGCGTTGTTTTGCATTGAAGTCAGTGGGAGGCGTTGTTTTGCATTGAAGTCAGTGGGAGGCGTTGTTTTGCATTGAAGTCGGTGGGAGGCGTTGTTTTGCATTGAAGTCGGTGGGAGGCGTTGTTTTGCATTAAAGTCGGTGGGAGGCGTTGTTTTGCATTGAAGTCGGTGGGAGGCGTTGTTTTGCATTGAAGTCGGTGGGAGGCGTTGTTTTGCATTGAAGTCGGTGGGAGGCGTTGTTTTGCATTGAAGTCGGTGGGAGGCGTTGTTTGGCATTGAAGTCGGTGGGAGGCGTTGTTTGGCATTGAAGTCGGTGGGAGGCGTTGTTTGGCATTGAAGTCGGTGGGAGGCGTTGTTTGGCATTGAAGTCGGTGGGAGGCGTTGTTTGGCATTGAAGTCGGTGGGAGGCGTTGTTTGGCATTGAAGTCGGTGGGAGGCGTTGTTTGGCATTGAAGTCGGTGGGAGGCGTTGTTTGGCATTGAAGTCGGTGGGAGGCGTTGTTTGGCATTGAAGTCGGTGGGAGGCGTTGTTTGGCATTGAAGTCGGTGGGAGGCGTTTGTTTGGCATTGAAGTCGGTGGGAGGCGTTGTTTGGCATTGAAGTCGGTGGGAGGCGTTGTTTGGCATTGAAGTCGGTGGGAGGCGTTGTTTGGCATTGAAGTCGGTGGGAGGCGTTGTTTGGCATTGAAGTCGGTGGGAGGCGTTGTTTGGCATTGAAGTCGGTGGGAGGCGTTGTTTGGCATTGAAGTCGGTGGGAGGCGTTGTTTGGCATTGAAGTCGGTGGGAGGCGTTGTTTGGCATTGAAGTCGGTGGGAGGCGTTGTTTGGCATTGAAGTCGGTGGGAGGCGTTGTTTGGCATTGAAGTCGGTGGGAGGCGTTGTTTGGCATTGAAGTCGGTGGGAGGCGTTGTTTGGCATTGAAGTCGGTGGGAGGCGTTGTTTGGCATTGAAGTCGGTGGGAGGCGTTGTTTGGCATTGAAGTCGGTGGGGCGTTGTTTGGCATTGAAGTCGGTGTTTGGCATTGAAGTCGGTGGGAGGCGTTGTTTGGCATTGAAGTCGGTGGGAGGCGTTGTTTGGGAGGCGTTGTTTGGCATTGAAGTCGGTGGGAGGCGTTGTTTGGCATTGAAGTCGGTGGGAGGCGTTGTTTGGCATTGAAGTCGGTGGGAGGCGTTGTTTGGCATTGAAGTCGGTGGGAGGCGTTGTTTGGCATTGAAGTCGGTGGGAGGCGTTGTTTGGCATTGAAGTCGGTGGGAGGCGTTGTTTGGCATTGAAGTCGGTGGGAGGCGTTGTTTGGCATTGAAGTCGGTGGTTTGGCATTGAGGCGTTTGTTTGGCATTGAAGTCGGTGGGAGGCGTTGTTTGGCATTGAAGTCGGTGGGAGGCGTTGTTTGGCATTGAAGTCGGTGGGAGGCGTTGTTTGGCATTGAAGTCGGTGGGAGGCGTTGTTTGGCATTGAAGTCGGTGGGAGGCGTTGTTTGGCATTGAAGTCGGTGGGAGGCGTTGTTTGGCATTGAAGTCGGTGGGAGGCGTTGTTTGGCATTGAAGTCGGTGGGAGGCGTTGTTTGGCATTGAAGTCGGTGGGGAGGCGTTTTTTGGCATTGAAGTCGGTGGGAGGCGTTGTTTGGCATTGAAGTCGGTGGGAGGCGTTGTTTGGCATTGAAGTCGGTGGGAGGCGTTGTTTGGCATTGAAGTCGGTGGGAGGCGTTGTTTGGCATTGAAGTCGGTGGGAGGCGTTGTTTGGCATTGAAGTCGGTGGGAGGCGTTGTTTGGCATTGAAGTCGGTGGGAGGCGTTGTTTGGCATTGAAGTCGGTGGGAGGCGTTGTTTGGCATTGAAGTCGGTGGGAGGCGTTGTTTGGCATTGAAGTCGGTGGGAGGCGTTGTTTGGCATTGAAGTCGGTGGGAGGCGTTGTTTGGCATTGAAGTCGGTGGGAGGCGTTGTTTGGCATTGAAGTCGGTGGGAGGCGTTGTTTGGCATTGAAGTCGGTGGGAGGCGTTGTTTGGCATTGAAGTCGGTGGGAGGCGTTGTTTGGCATTGAAGTCGGTGGGAGGCGTTTTTTGGCATTGAAGTCGGTGGGAGGCGTTTTTTTTTTTGGCATTGAAGTCGGTGGGAGGCGTTTTTTTTTTGGCATTGAAGTCGGTGGGGGAGGCGTTTTTTGGCATTGAAGTCGGTGGGAGGCAGTGTGTGAACCTAGTCGCCAGGATGCAATATCTAATCACCACGGTAACCCGGCGCCTGGGATTTGTTGAGCCCTGTGTTAATGGCACCCCCAGAGATCTGCTAACACATTTGTTGTGCAATGTGTTTTTGGTAAAGGGTCGGGGACTTTTTTTATTTCTGGTAATCACTTTGCTCTCTCACTCTGTCAAGGTGTTTTTGGTTATCGCATCATATGATTGGCTTCTCTTCCAGCCTCAGCGCAGTGCGGCGATCGGTGGTGCACTGTGTCCCTCGGACACAGCAGATCACCGATCAATGGAAAGAGCCGAACATGTCGGCTCAGTGATGCAATCAGCTGTGTCCAATCACAGCTGATGACATGTAAACAGGGAAATGCCGGTTATCGGCATTTCTCTCCTCACGACCTGGCACGCTGACAGAGGAGAGGAGAGCCGGTACTCTGCATTCCTCGCAGGGGACATGGGCACTGATGATCAGTGTAGCCACAGCAGTGCCACCTGTCAGTGTCCATCAGTGCCTGCTGTCAGTGCTCAGCAATGCCACCTGCCAGTGCCACATCAATGCCACATATCAGTGCCCATCTGAGCTGCCTTTCAGTGTTACCTATCAGTGCCACCTATCAATGCCAGTCAGTGTTCCCAGGGAGCACGCACAAGCTGGGTGCAGGGAGGCCATTTATAAACGGCCACCCAACCCTGCACTGCCACCGTCCGGACGTTTATATACATGGGCTGGACGGGAGGGGGTTAAATGGGGTTTTGTTGTCTGCCTGGAGTTCACTTTTAGTAGCCAACTCCCATATCAGTTCCTCTTTTTGTATTAATAGAGATTTGACTAGCTATGCGGACATGGACAGGACATGCTGCCAGGCACTGCTTGTAATCTTCATTATGCAAAATTAGGAAGGAGCTGAACAGTAACCAAGTTCTGTCGGGGAGAAGCACTTGTGTGTGCACCAGATATCATCTGGAATCATTCCTGCTTTGCAATATTGTGCTCTGTGAAATATGAACATTGTCAGCTATGGCATATATATACCATCAGACATTGAACGCTCATCTACAGATGTCCTATGTATTACTTTGCACAGTTAGCCTGAAATTGTGAAAGAAAGTGCTTTTTGTAGGTGAAGTAGTCACATATAAGGACACAGCTAATCACTTGGGGGTCTTTGTATAAAATGTTTGTTGCACGAATGTCAAAAGCATTTGCCTAGTGCTCACAAATTTTGGCTGTTTTGATTAATATGTTATTTTCCTGTGATTGTCATCTAGTGGCCTCAATGTACTTCGTTTCCTGAAATACTGCAATCAAGCAAAAACTCCCCGGACCCGGCGTTCACTCCGTCTGGTCTCCCCGGACCCGGCGTTCACTCCGTCTGGTCTCCCCGGACCCGGCGTTCACTCCGTCTGGTCTCCCCGGACCCGGCGTTCACTCCGTCTGGTCTCCCCGGACCCGGCGTTCACTCCGTCTGGTCTCCCCGGACCCGGCGTTCACTCCGTCTGGTCTCCCCGGACCCGGCGTTCACTCCGTCTGGTCTCCCCGGACCCGGCGTTCACTCCGTCTGGTCTCCCCGGACCCGGCGTTCACTCCGTCTGGTCTCCCCGGACCCGGCGTTCACTCCGTCTGGTCTCCCCGGACCCGGCGTTCACTCCGTCTGGTCTCCCCGGACCCGGCGTTGATGGGGAAATTGAGCGATTTTCTTTGCTGCAACCACAAGTTCAGAAAATCGCTCCATGTATGGCCAGCTTAACCACTTCATGTCTGGCCCATGTACATAAACGGCCGGACAGGAGCAGTTCCAAAGCGGGTGGCTGTTTATAAACGCCCCCCCCCCCCCCCCCCCCCCCCCCCGCATTCACTGCCTGTGTGTGTTCCCTGGGAGGAGAAATGATTGTTTTTACAGCCTCATCTCTGTGCCCAGCGCCGGGATCTATGGTTTCTCAGGTAAGGCTGAACTACCGGGCGGCGAGGGGGGCAGGGTTTTTTCGGCACCTGTATCAGTGCATTTTTTTTTCATTTCGGCCGAAAGGGGTGTTCGGCCAAAATGTTTCAGCCACCGAAATTTCGGTGCATCCCTAGTTGATATTTATGCGCAGCGTTCTGGTGTGAATAGGACGCATTCAAAATTTTTTGTCCTTCCATTGATCTGCGTTTTACAGCTGCACTAAAACGCAGACCAGCGCACTGCTGTGAATTGGCCTTTTAAAACTGTTGCTGCTTGTAACAATATTGTGAATGAAAAATGAAAAGAAGACTTCCGTTTGGTGATAACAGGACAACCACTGAAAATGATTTTATTTATTTTCCTGCATTAGGGTGCCCACTCTTGAACCATGGCTGAACATGAACCCACCTCGGAGCAGCTTGCACAGATCGCAGCGGAAAACGAAGAGGATGAACACTCGGTCAACTACAAGGCTCCAGCTCCGAAGTCCATCAATGAGATTCAGGCCATGGACCAGGATGACGAGAGTCTGAGGAAGTACAAAGAGGCTCTTCTGGGCTCCCTTCCCTCCACAGTGGGTGAGTCAGGTACAGACAAGCACAGCATACGTACCTGCCGGTGACACTTGGCGTAGGTTCACACTAGTGCTGTTACATGATCGTGCACTTTTACTGCATTTTCATGCTTCATGCATTTTTTGTAGGAGGAGACTGGTTAAGCACAAATCACTGCCAAAAATGCATGTACATGTTTTTTGTGTGTTTTTCACGCACTACCGTTAGACTGTTGCCATAAACGCACAATGCTGCAGCAAAAGAAATGTGTACCTTTTGAAAAATTGCACTGCACCATGTTGCACTGATGTCAATGGGCACAATAGAGCAGGGCTTAAAATTTCGAGTCTAGACCTACTAGCCAGGCACAAACCTTACTCTCCACCAGTTGCCCCACCCAACCTTGCCCAGGTCCGCCCCCAACCACGCCTCCTTAAAGCTTATGAAATTTACATTTTTCTTTAGACTAAAGAGTCCAAAATATAAAAAACTGCAATTATAACACAGCTTTATTATGTCAATTTAAACATAACCGCAATAGCTTAATAGCAATAGTGTGCAATCAAAATATCAAGTTTTACAGCTTTAAACTTGTAGTGAACCTTTTGTATTTTTTTTTTTATCTCCTGCATCTTTAAAAAGAGACTTTTTAATATGACGATATGATTTTTGTTAGTGGGCACATATTTGCAGTTATTATTGCAGTTTTTCCTTAAACTGATTTTTTTATACTACTTTTTTATTTTTATTCATTTATTAAAGTCCAGTTGTATTTTAGCAGAAAATTATACAAAGAAAATCAATGTGTTTTGGAACAGTAAATAACAAGTGACTTACAGTTTATTTTGTAGCCCTATGCTCAGAGGTATACTGCAGGCCACTGAGCTGCGTGAGGGCAGTGCAGTGGTTTCTCTACAGTGATCCCCCAAGGCGGTGGAGAGCGGGCCTCTCCTTGTGTCCCCCAAGGGTGGAGAGCGGGCCTCTCCTTGTGTCCCCCATGGCGGTGGAGAGCGGGCCTCTCCTTGTGTCCCCCATGGCGGGGGAGAGCGGGCCTCTCCTTATGTCCCCCATGGCGGGGGAGAGCGGGCCTCTCCTTGTGTCCCCCATGGCAGGGGAGAGCGGGCCTCTCCTTGTGTCCCCCATGGCAGGGGAGAGCGGGCCTCTCCTTGTGTCCCCCATGGCAGGGGAGAGCGGGCCTCTCCTTGTGTCCCCCATGGCAGGGGAGAGCGGGCCTCTCCTTGTGTCCCCCATGGCAGGGGAGAGCGGGCCTCTCCTTGTGTCCCCCATGGCAGGGGAGAGCGGGCCTCTCCTTGTGTCCCCCATGGCAGGGGAGAGCGGGCCTCTCCTTGTGTCCCCCATGGCAGGGGAGAGCGGGCCTCTCCTTGTGTCCCCCGTGGCAGGGGAGAGCGGGCCTCTCCTTGTGTCCCCCGTGGCAGGGGAGAGCGGGCCTCTCCTTGTGTCCCCCGTGGCAGGGGAGAGCGGGCCTCTCCTCGTGTCCCATGTGGCAGGGGAGAGCGGGCCTCTCCTTGTGTCCCCCGTGGCAGGGGAGAGCGGGCCTCTCCTCGTGTCCCATGTGGCAGGGGAGAGCGGGCCTCTCCTTGTGTCCCCCGTGGCAGGGGAGAGCGGGCCTCTCCTCGTGTCCCATGTGGCAGGAGAGAGGGTCCTCTCCTCGTTTCCACCATGGCGGGGGAGAGCGGGCCTCTCCTCGTTTCCACCATGGCGGGGGGAGAGCGGGCCTCTCCTCGTGTCCCCGGTGGCGGGGGGAGAGCGGGCCTCTCCTCGTGTCCCCGGTGGCGGGGGGGGAGAGAGCGGGCCTCTCCTCGTGTCCCCGATTGGCGGGGGGAGAGCGGGCCTCTCCTCGTGTCCCCGATTGGCGGGGGGAGAGCGGGCCTCTCCTCGTGTCCCCGATTGGCGGGGGGAGAGCGGGCCTCTCCCTCGTGTCCCCGATTGGCGGGGGGAGAGCGGGCCTCTCCTCGTGTCCCCGATTGGCGGGGGGAGAGCGGGCCTCTCCTCGTGTCCCCGATTGGCGGGGGGAGAGCGGGGCCTCTCCTCGTGTCCCCGATTGGCGGGGGGAGAGCGGGCCTCTCCTCGTGTCCCCGATTGGCGGGGGGAGAGCGGGCCTCTCCTCGTGTCCCCGATTGGCGGGGGGAGAGCGGGCCTCTCCTCGTGTCCCCGATTGGCGGGGGGGAGAGCGGGCCACTCCTCGTGTCCCCGGTGGCGGGGGGAGAGCGGGACTCTCCTCGTGTCCCCCGTGGAGGTGTCCTCTCAGCAGAGGAGAGCGGACCTCTCCTGCACCTGTCCCCTCAGTGGCGATGCCAGTGTAATGGCGGTGCCGAAGAAGCTGGAAGTTGTAAACCGGAACTCTGCTTCACAATGAGGCTTGGAGTGCAGGTGCAGCTGCTCTTTCCATCATCTGTGCTCGCCACACAAGAATTTCTCCTTGCATTTGGCGAGCAGCTTTTTCAAGCCCTGCGATAGAATATATGGCAACTGTAACTTTCCCTTTGACCTCTGAAGGAGTTGGCCACTAAGAATGTAGCAGGAAAGGATATGTGCCTGCAGGAGAGAGCGGCTGGTCAGCTGGGACCTGGAAGCCAGTTGAGATCACTGGAGAAGTGGTGACTTCAGGGCCATCGGCTCAGTCATATGTCATCTACATAGTTACAATTGTCCACGCTGGACCAATGTGTCTGTATAACATGCTGACACCTGAAATTATTCTTTAACCAGTTCCCAACCGCGCTATAGCCAAAGGACAGCTACAGTGCGGTTGTCTGGTTCTGGGACGACATCCATGGACGTCATTCCAGAACATTCCCCCAGAGCCGTGCCGCAGGAGATCGCTGTGTCCTACGGAACAGCCAATCACGGCGTCCTTTTACCACGTGATCAGCTGTGTCCAATGACACAGCAGAACACCAGTAAATGTAGTTGCTTGTCATCGGCTGCACTTTCCCCACGCTGCCACCTGATGATAATGCTTTTTTTTTTTCTCTCCTGAAGGACAGTGCCATCTTTGCTCAGGCATCCTCCAGGATATCCATCTACTTCTTGGATTGGGATGTCAGCTCAGAGATATCACAATTATGTGAATTCAAGTGCCTGTGCAGTTGATGCCTGATGCAGATCTGCACCTGCTTTTCACCTTGTGATTTGTTACAGTGTGCTGTCTGATCACTGAGGGAGAAGAGACTGAGGAAATGCTTCCTCCTGCCTGCAGCAGACTGATGACATCTAACATCAGGCAGAATCGCTGTACCTGAACTATTGATTTTTAAACCCCTTCATGCTAACTTGGCGCATAAATGCGGCCTTTCGGCAGACAGGCTTCAACACGGAGTGGCTACATATATGCAACCCTAGGTAAACACTCTGCTGTGCTGAGAGTGCGCTCCCAGCACAGTAACGAGCGGGTTCCAGAAAGCTCCCAATGTTTACTTGCATTCAGGAGCTTTCCGATCATGTGACTCCCAATCACAGCAGTCACATGATCAGAATGCCTCTCTGCCTCCCAGGGGCGGACTGACAACTCATGGGGCCCCCGGGCAATAGGGGATCATGGGGCCCCTGTGTCCTGCCCAAACTCAAAAAAGCCTATGAAAAAGGTACCAGGGGCATCTCATGGGGCCCCCTACTGACCCCGGGCCCTCGGGCAGTGCCCGGGTTTCCAAATGGTCAGTCCGCCCTTGCTGCCTCCTGACATTTAGATCCTCCTAAAGTACCGGGAGGCAGTGGTGGGAAAGGGTTAATGATGGAGCTTCTCTGAAGAATGATGCAGTTACTGTATATCATCACATGTTATAAATGTGTTCATGCAGACTTTAGAGTCACTACAGAGCCACACTAAGGTTTCAGGTTGACATATGGACTGAAAGATTGAAAGCCAGGAATGGGCAGGTAGCTTTTTAAGTCAGCTGTGGAAGCCCCTGTATTGTTTTTAGTGTAGAACTCTTTAAAATGGATCTAAAGGCTCAAGGTTTTTTTACCTTCATGCATTCTATGCATGAAGGTAAACAAAGCCTTCTGTAGAACGGCCCCTCCCCAATCCTTACCTGAGCCCTCTCCAATCCAGCAATGTTCATAGTAGTCTTGGCTGTATGGGACCTCTCCCTCTTCATTGGCTGAGACAGCAGCAGGAGCCAATGTCATTCACAGCTAGTGAGCCAATGAAGAGAGCGGGGGGACAGAGCCGAACCGCAGCTCTATGTCTTATGGATGTGTAAAGCAGCAGCTCGGGAGCGAGCACATAGTGGTGCCCCAAAGGCAAGCGGCTTACCCCAGGGAGCTCTGCTCGAGGGGGAGGAGCCAGAGCACCAGGGGGGGATCTGAAAAGAAGGGGATCGGGGCAGCTGTGTGCAAAACTACTGCACAGAGCAGGTAAGTATGGCATGTTTGTTATTTAAACCTGAATCTCTAGTATCACTTTAAAAACTGATTCCCTGTAAAACAAATATAATTTTGTATCATCAGATCCCTCCGTTCCAAATGTGGTTGTGACCAAACTGACCTTGGTATGTGCGGAAGCTCCCGGACCACTTGAGCTGAATCTGCGAGGTAATTTTATAGCGTCTGTCACATCAGATGAGTGACCAAAAACTGTCCACTGTGTCCTGTATGGTTTTAATATATGTCTGTTTCTGCTTTCCAGGGGATTTGGAGAAGTTCAAGAAAGAAACATTTTATCTTAAAGAAGGAGTTGAGTACAGAATCAAAATTAGTTTTAAGGTGAGAAGTCTACAGTTATTGTATGGCTGGTATACAGTGGAAAGACTGTTTTCGAGAACTGCTGTTTGTTATAAATCGGTACTTTCCAATTAGGATCTTGCAGAGGATGTGTAATGTTTTGAGGTTTTTTTATTTTTTCAATCTACTTCTAATGTAGCGGCACTTGGGCAGCACAGCGGCTAAATGGTTAGCACTTCCGCCTGGCAGTACTCGGGTCATTGGTTCAAATCCCAACCACAGCACCACCTGCCTGGAGTTTGCATGTTCTCCCTTTGCCTGCGTAGGTTTCCTCCGGGTACTCCGGTTTCCTCCCACACTCCAAAGACATGCTGGTAGATTAATTGGCTCCTGTCTAAGTTGGCCCTTGTATGTGTATGTATGAATGTAAGATAGGGACCTTATGGATCCTGTCTAAATTGTCCCTAGTATGTGTATGTATGATTGTAAGTTAGGGACCTTAGATTTTACGCCCCTTGAGGGTTAGGGACTGATGTGAATGTACAATATATATGTAAAGCGCTGCGTAAATTGACGGCGCTATATAGGTACCTGAAATAAAGAAATAAATATAGGTTGAAAAGACACAAGTCCACAGAGTTCGACCAATAGACAAAGAAAAAGTAAATTGAAAACCTGCTTACACAGAACCACCCTATACCCACAGTTGCAAAAAAAACCTCTTCTAAATCATGGTCCAATTAACCTACCAGCATGTCTTTGAAGTGTGGGAGGACACAGGAGTACCTGGAGGAAACTCGCACAGGCACAGAGAGAACATGCAAACTGGTGCCATGGTTGGGATTCGAACCAACGATCCTAGTACTACCAGGCGGAAGTGCTAACCATTTAGCCATTGTGCTGCCTCTTGCTGTGACGTTCACGGCGATACCTCACATGTGTGGTTTGAACAGTGTACATATGTGGGCGCGGCCTATGTATGCATTTAACACGGGGTGACAAGGGCACTTTAAAAAAAAAAAAAAATGTTTTAATCACTTTTATTCCTATCACAATGCTTGCATCCCCTGTGATAGAAATAATCTGTGACAGGTCCTCTTTATGGAGAGATGTGGGGTCAATAAGACCCCACATCTCTCCTCTACAATGTAAAGCATTAGATAAAAAAAAAAATGATCTAGTACTTTAAAAAAAAAAAAAAAAGGCTTCGTTTACAAGGTGCCGGAGCTGGAAGTGACGTAGTGACGTTGCTCCTGTCCTCCAAGGGCACAGAGATGATTGGCTGCCATCTTTCCTTCACTGATCTCTATGCCCACATCTGGGATCCTTGGATGGGTTCTCTGGTAAGGCTGAAAACCACTAGGCGGCAAGGAGGGGGTGGGGCTATTTTCGGCACCTGTATCGGTGCCTATTTTCATATCGTCCAAAGGCCGATAGGGGCGTTTTTGGCCACCAAAATTTTGGTGCATCCCTAGTGCTAAAACATTCTTTGGTTCAGCTTGGTGCAATCATATTCCTCATATGCCACTTCTGGAGGGGCGCAGAGGATGCTTCATATGACTGTAGTATCTTGTACTACATATTGTATGTACTGACCTCTTCCAGAAGGTGCTCCGATGACTTCTTGTGTCTTAGCTTTTCCTTCTGAAGAGCAATCCACTTTCGGCTTGCTCTTCAGAGAGCATTTTGACAGGTGGTGAGTAGGGGTTGTCGCCTCCTCACCACTTGTTTTAATGTGTTGATCCCTGTGGTAGCATGCAGTGCACGTGGTTGCAGGGTGCTTGCAGAGCAGCCCCATTCACTTGAGCAATGGGGGATTGCGGCCATACCGCGGGATGTAAGCACCCCCAGCCCCCCAGTTGGGGTGAGGTAAAAGCACAGCTCAACTTCAGGGTTTTACAGCTTCCACAACTGCTAATGTGAATGAGCCATCACACTAAACACAGCGTTGCTCTCTCCCATACCACAGCCATTCAGGAAATGCTTTGTATTTTTCATCTGTGAATACAAGGCCTTCTTGGATTGGACAAGGTGGAGAGGAGGGAAGGATAATGTAATGGTCAGCACCTCGCCCAATCCGAGAACACCTTGTAATCACTGGGGAAAAAAATGAAGGCATTTCCTGAATGGTTGAGGTGAGTAGGTGAGCAACAAAGTTGTGATTGTGGTTTTTTTTTTTTTTTTTTCCTTTAAGGGCCATTATCATTTGGATAATTTTAAATATATATATATATCAGGAGATAGCCATTAATATTTACCACACAATGAAGGCCTGATTTGTCCTGAACAAAACAAGATATAATTAACCTGGATACAGGAAATAGTTGCGATATGTACAGTTTTAATAACATCTGACAAAGTTGCAAAACTGCCTTCAAGCATTAACCCCCCTGGTGGTATTCGGGGTAAAGTTTCAGCACCACAAGCAGTAACTCCGAGCTACACTCGGGCTTACCATGCGGCGCTGGTTCGGGATCTCAACTTCACTTACCTTGTCCTGCGCTCCCGCGATGTCCCCCTGCAGTGTCCCCGGCAATGTCCTCCGGCCGATGCCGACATCCATCTTCCGGGTTCTGTTCTCTGCGACGTTGGGACGTACGGGGGACAGAACTGGCGGGCAATTTGAACATTGTTAAAGTGACATTCATAAATACACTAAAAATCACATAGTATAACATTCCTGTATCAAACCATTTCACATACATTTTGTCCCGAGTGCTTTGTCCGGCGCCCTGCCTGCATTTTTACTGTTCTTTCTGCCTGGAAACTGAGAAATGTCCATGGCGTCCAAAAAGCGTCCCTTTAGGTCAAAATCGGTTTTAGACCGGCTAGAGAACAGCGATAGTAAATCAGAACCACTTGCAGAATTGAGTGATAATGATTCGTGGGGGAAATTCATCATCAGACACTGAAAACGATTTTGCAACTTTGCTCAGCGATGTGCGAACTTGGTGATCTATTTCACATTTCAGTGTTTTTGGTTTGATTATTATATTGAATTAAATTTATTATTTTTTTTTATGATTATTTATTAAATTATGATTTTGTGTTTCAAATTTTATCATACCCGGGATGTTTACTAGACTCTTGTTCGGACAGATTTCAGTGAGTTATTCCTAAAACTTACAGGCCTACAATAAAAAAACATATTTCCATGCAAAAAAAGTACCGCTCTGAGCACAGAAATATGGACATAATCAGACCGCTAGGGAGGTTAAGGTTTGTTTTACACTTTTTTTTTTTTTTTTTTTTTTCTCTTTCTCATGAAGGGGTTATTGAGAAAACTCAGCCTGTCCCCACTTTGTCTGTCCACTCTCACTTTCAGATTGTTCAGAGTAGCTTGCAGTGTGCCCAATGTCCTGCTCCAAAGAAAAAAAAATCAAGATAAAGCCTTGTTCACACAGGCATACTTAACCGCTTTCCTGCTTCCCTATAGCACAAATACTGCTACAGGGCGGCAGGGGTGCGCATAATCACGTGTTTGTATGTGTGTGCGAGAGCCCTACCTACCCTGCCATTGGCGGCCTCACCTGTCGATCACTGGGTCCCAGCCGGTGTTTCCCCACCGGCGAACGCCGTGTATCACCAAAGGGGGAGAGACCTGTATGTAAACAATACTGATCTCTCCCCTGTCAGCTCCTGCACATTGCTTTGTATGGTTCTGCATAGCAGTGGCTGTGTTCAGTCTTTTTGCTGCGTCCCCTTTGAAATGACTAGGACAGCCTGCACAGAGATGCATAGAACACCTGTGCAACCTCATGGGCAAACATGGGCCTTAATCGGATGTACACTGTAGTACGCCCGCCTATGTGAGGCCTAAAGGAGCTCTTGTGTGTGTATTTAAGTCATGTATGTAGCCGTCTACCTGGAGTTTTCTTTTATGACTTTGCTGCAAAGTAACTTTCTCTCCCATCGGGTGTGTTTGTGTTACAGGTGCATGGAGAGATCGTTTCAGGCCTGAAGTATCAGCAGCAGACATGCAGGAAAGGTGTAAAGTGTAAGTGACAGCTGTCATACCTGCCATCTTACAACAACAAAAAACTTTATGCAGACACATAAGGACGCTCTTTAGTTATGCGTTCCTTTCTTTTGACCGCTGTGAAACCATTTTACAGCCGATGTAATTGCATAGTTTTATGGTTGTTGTCCAAATTAAGTCTGAAAAAAGCAAGCCGTTTCAGCAAAACACACAAATTCACTATTTTACCTCTCGGCAAGTACAAAAAATTCTCTCTGACCTCTTGAATGTAAATATTACCATACTCTTCTTAGTGGCTATAAGTTAAGACGGCAAAAATTGTAAAAAGTCATCTAAATCTTTAACCGCTTGCCTGCTGTCCTTTAGCAGATATACTGTTACAGGGTGACGCGGCTGCAAAAAATCGCGTATATATGTGATTTGCATTTCCGGGTAGGGGGCTTGCATGAGCCACCCTACCCACGCCGCTATTGGTTTTTGGGGATGTCAATCACCGTGTCCCGGCCGGCACTCTGTGATCGTCGGCGATTCCTGGCCGGGACTCTGTGATCGTCGGCGATTCCTGGCCGGGACTCTGTGATCGTCGGCGATTCCTGGCCGGGACTCTGTGATCGTCGGCAAAGCTGACGGGAGAGATCTGAGTGTAAACACAGGTCTCTCTCCTCTGTCAGTATGGACATGCTGCTTTGTATCTCTGCACAGCATATCTCCATAGTAAAACGCAATAAAAACACACACAGCACACTGTTAACCCTTTGATCACCCCAGATGTTAACCCCTTCCTGCCCAGTGTCAGTGTTTTTATTAGCACTGATCACTGGATTAGTGTAACTGGGGATGTCAGTGGCAGTTGGTCAGTTCCCACCCAGTGTCAGAATGCCTGCTGCAGTCCAGCTATAAATCATTGATTGCCACCATTACTAGTATAAAATATCTTTTTTTTTTTTTTTAAATTCCAGTATATATACCGCTATAACGTTCACATAAACCAATTAATTTACACGTATTGGGACTTTTCTTAGCAAAGACATGGAACAGAATGCTTTGGCCTAAATTCATGACTAAATTTGGTTTTTAAATTTTTTTTACTGGACATGTTTAATAGCAAAAATTATCGGTCATTTTTTGTTTATACAACAAAAAATAAAAAATGCACAGGCGATCAAATACCACCAAAAGAGAGCTCTACTTGGAGGGGGGGGGAGGGGAGGACATAAATTTCATTTGGGTGCAGAGTTGCATGACCGCCAATTGTCAGTTAAGGTAACGCAGCGCCGTATCGCAAGAAATGTCCTGGTCAGGAAGAGGGGTAAATCCTCTGGAGGGCAAGTGGTTAATCTGGTTGAAAAAAGACACAAGTCCATCCAGTCCAACCAACCACAAAAAAAAAAAAAAAAACACAAATAGAAAACCTCCATATACACAATCCTATACCCACAGTTGATCCAGATGAAGGCAAAAAACCCAAGCATGCAGTTTGCTCCAGCAGGAGAAAAAATGTATTTCCTGATCCAGTTTACCTGTAAATGTTAGTATCCAGTTATATTATGTGGGTTTCGAGAAAAAATCTACAGAGCTGGGCAAAACCAACTCTTGAAAGGGTCTATTGTACATTTTCACAGCTCTTCCTGTGAAAAAGCCTTTCTGTATTTGGAGATTAAATCTGTTTTCCTCCAGATGTAAACTGTGCCCCCTTGTCCTCTGTGATGACCTTAAATAATTCTACACTGAGTTCACTATATGAATCACTGATGTATTATACATGGAGATCATATCCCCCCTTATGTATTATACATGGAGATCATATCCCCCCTTATGTATTATACATGGAGATCATATCCCCCTTATGTATTATACATGGAGATCATATCCCCCCTTATGTATCATACATGGAGATCATATCCCCCCTTATGTATCATACATGGAGATCATATCCCCCCTTATGTATCATACATGGAGATCATATCCCCCCTTATGTATCATACATGGAGATCATATCCCCCCCTTATGTATTATACATGGAGATCATATCCCCCCTTATGTATCATACATGGAGATCATATCCCCCCTTATGTATCATACATGGAGATCATATCCCCCCTTATGTATTATACATGGAGATCATATCCCCCTTATGTATTATACATGGAGATCATATCCCCCCTTATGTATTATACATGGAGATCATATCCCCCCTTATGTATCATACATGGAGATCATATCCCCCCTTATGTATCATACATGGAGATCATATCCCCCTTATGTATTATACATGGAGATCATATCCCCCCTTATGTATCATACATGGAGATCATATCCCCCCTTATGTATCATACATGGAGATCATATCCCCCCTTATGTATCATACATGGAGATCATATCCCCCCTTATGTATCATACATGGAGATCATATCCCCCCTTATGTATCATACATGGAGATCATATCCCCCCTTATGTATTATACATGGAGATCATATCCCCCTTATGTATTATACATGGAGATCATATCCCCCCTTAATCTCCTCTTCTTAGGAGAGAATAAATTCAGTTCCTCTATTCTTTCCTCATAGCTGATCTCCTCCATGCCTCTTATCAGTTTGGTTGCTCTTCTCTGTACTTTCTCCAGTTCCCCAATGTTCTTTTTGTGAATTGGTGCCCAAAACTGAACTGCATATTCCAGATGAGGTATTACTAATGATTTGTTCCGGGGAAATGATATCTCTCCCTCTGGAGTCTATACCTCTATTAATACAAGAGAGGATTTTGCTCCCTTTAGGACCCGCAGCTTGGCATTGCTGCCATTATTAAGCTTGTGATCTACCAGAACCCCCAGATCCTTCTCCACCATTGATTCCCCCAGTTGTACCCCCCTAGTATGTATGATGCAGGGACGGACTGACCATTTGGGAACTCGGGCACTACCCGAGGGCCCGGGGTCAGTATGGGGCCCCATGAGATGCCCCTGAAACCTTTCATAGGCTTTTTTTGGGTGTGGTTTGAGTGTGGGTGAGGACACAGGGGCCCCATGATCCCCTATTGCCCGGGGGCCCCATGAGTTGTCAGTCCGCCCCTAGTATGATCCATGCACATTCTTAGCCCCCAAGTGCATAACCTTACATTTTATCAAGATTAAACCTCATTTGCCAAACATTTCTCCAGTTAAACAGTGCATTGGGGTTGGCTTGAAAATTCCTGTTGTAGTTGTGCTTCTCTTTTGTCACACTCTTTGGGCTTGTTCACACGGGTGGTAAAATCAAGCAGTAGAGCTGTGGTTTTACTGCCCCTTGATCGCCCACCTGAAAAAGGACATGTAGCTGCTCAGAGCTGTACACATGCCACAGCCACTATGCATCGCATCAAGCGTGTCAAAAATTACTGTCGCCAAATGCACCACATTCAAGTAAATGGGGCCACGCCACAACTGCCCTGACTTGCGACGCAATGGGTTGGCATTTTTGGGGATACGGGGCTATGAGGAGCTGCCATATTGCATCATCACTGCATGGCAAATGCCTCTGAAAACAGTCCACCATTGATTGCTTTTCAGAAGAGCAGCAAGGTCTGCCGCTCATATGAACAAGACCCGCCAGTGGCTGCTTCAGGAGTGTTCCCACTGTTGGCATCCGAGTAATAACGTGCAGGAGAGCCTATAGACAGGATGTGGCTGCAAAAACAGCAGCTGGGACAGCAACAGAAAATTGATAATAAAAGATGAAGAAATAAACCAAACAAAAAAACCTAGCGAGTGTTTGATACGCAGTGCTTTAGTGAACTATAGATGGCCTTAACCACTTGTCTCCTGAGGATTTACCCCCCTTAATGACCACGCCTCTTTTTGCTACTCGGCGCTGCACTAATTCAACTGATAATTGCGCGGGTCATGCAATGCTGCACCCAAATGAAATTTACGTCCTTTTTTTCACACAAATAGAGCTTTCTTTCGGTGGTATTTGATCACCTCTGCGCTTTTTATTTTTCACGCTATAAACAAATAAAGACCAAAAATTTTGAAGAAAAACGATATTTTTTTTACTTTCAGCTATAAAAAATATATAGTAAACTCAAAGTTAGTTATAAATTTAGGCCAAAATGTATTCTGCTCCATGTTTTTGGTAAAAAAAAATCCCAATAAGTGTATATTGATTGCTTTGTGTGAAAGTTTTATAGCGTCTACAAACTATGGTACAGATAATGCAATTTACGCCATTTTTTTGCTATACCGCACTGCGCTAGTTAAACTGACAATTGCGCGGTCATGCAATATGGTTCATAAATGAAATTTACATCCTTTTTTTCCCACAAATTAAGCTTTCTTTCGGTGGTATTTGATTGCCTGTGCGGTTTTTATTTTTTGCGCTATAAAAAAAAAAAAAAGGCTGACAATTTTGAGGAAAAAAAACAATATTTTGGACTTTTTGCTATAAAAACAGGTCTAGGAAAAAAAAATGTAAAAATCTAATTTATTCATAAATTTTTGCCAAAATATATTTTGGCGACATGTCTTTGCTACAAAAAAACCCAATACGTGTAAATTAATTGGTTTACGTGAAAGTTATAGCGTTTACAAATGGCGGGAAAGATACTGGGATTTTTTTTTTATACTAATAATGGCGGCGATCAGCGATTTATGGCGGCGATCGACTTATGGCAAGACTGCGGGACTGCGGCGGACATTCTGACACTGGGGGGGAACTGACTTGGGGTCACTGACATCCCCAGTGACACCAATACAGTGATCAGTGCAAAAAAAAAAAACACTTGACACTGTACTAATGGCACTGGGGAGGAAGGGGTTAACTTTTTTATTCACTGAAAGGGTTAACTGTGTGAGGGGAGTGTTTTACTAGGGGGCGTGGGTGTGTACTGCACGGGAACACGCTGATCCGGAGAGATAAACTCTTCTCTCCGGATCAGCATGTCAGGAGCTGACGGGACTGACAGCACGGCTGTAAACACTGGAGCCGTCCTCTCTGTCAGTGATTGGCGCTAATCGCCGGGACACGGTAGGTAATGACCGG